CATCATTGTAGCTGTCCATCTAAGTAAGTTAAGCTGAACAATAATGGAAATAKTTTAAATTTGTTGAAAGTTTTATCAAAGCATAATATTGATCACTTATCTGATCATGCAGAACCACTTTTGTTCGACGTCGTTAAAATCTCTGAACATATTCCATAATAATTCATGTTTACTCTCTTTTAAATAAAGATTCGTGGCGCTTGAGACAAGAACTTTAGAAGCACAGCAGCCACAGCAGCCAGGACCCACCTTTATTCCAATAACAGCTGGGTTAGTAGTGCCTTAATGCTATTTTATATGACCAGTCTTGATGTATATCACGCTTTCTCATWTACTTCTCACGATCGTGYTTAATAAGAGGAATGTTTGCTGCGCTTTTATTCCTAAGCTTGCTTCCCTTGTGCTTTTCATTTCACGCATTAATTAATCATTATTATAAATATTATTAATTAATCATTAGCTATATTTTTTAATTTCAAGCCCTCCTGTGGTAGTCGTTGAATCTCCGCCAGAGCCTAAACCCTGCTGTGACTATGGCTGCTGTGAGTGTGATGAYAACTTTAAATGGAACAGTTTTTATGGAAAAGGTAAAAGTTTATTCTATTTAGGCCGTAGTTTGTACCTCGCAAAAAGGATTTGAAAAACCTCTGTTAAGCGGTCTCCTTGATAGGGAAGGACCAGGCGACCGCTTAATAGGGGTTGACAGGTTGACGTTTAGAGTAAATAAACAAACGATCTTGGAAAGTTTGCTAAACTTTCCAAATAACACATTGCAGATGTTTCAATTTCTAAGTGGCTATGAAAATATTCATTTTCCATTCGTGAAAACTGTTCTCGTAGGGTGTCAGGTGGGTTTTCATGGAGAAATGACAAGGCATTTTTAAACTTCTATATGGACATTATAGAATATTTATTATAGAATATTTATTATAGAATATTTCTCTAAAACGAATATCAAGTCACGTGACAATTGGATCATCGAAAATGTCTTGTTAGGTGTAGAATGTTTTGGTGTAGTCACTTTTCACTGCTCAATAATATGAGGTACTGAAACTTAAAAAAAACTGTACTGTATTGATTATTTCTTCTTGYAGGAGCTGGTGTTATTATTCTACTGATACTGATGTACCTCATTGGTTTCGTCCTCTGCGTTGCTTTTATTGTTATTATTATTGCATTGGCTATAGTAGTCTGTTTCTGCGGGGATGATGACAACGACTGAATYGAATCGCTAACAACAGCAGAWTCAGAWTCAGAATCTTTTTCACTTAAGGGAACTTCAGATTTKACAACGAGTACGAGRTTGAGTACGAGTACTTGTTTTCAAACCAGCTTTTATTGTGTTGTCCATACCGGATTTCAATCCACTTCGTGTTTTTATTAATTTGATGTTTCAATCTATTCACAGGAATGCAATTCATGATTAATAGCACACTTAAGAAAAAATTTTAAACTCGTACTCGTTGTCAAATCTGAAGTTCCCGATCCGCCTTTCTTTCTCTTTCTCTTTCTTTTTTTATTTTGTTTTATTTTTATTTTATATTTTATTTTTCTTTGTATTTTATATTTTTTGTGGGACAACATGGCTGCCATTACGTGTCCTCTATTCTGATTGGCCGACTACGCGAATGACGCGTTTGATTTGTTGAAAGGCTGATATGAATAGCTGGACGGCCTATGTTCACACGTGATAGCCACAGTGTGCGATAGCACATGCACAACGATACAGTCGTTATCGGGGTCGTGTCACGCTCTCAAATAGCTTTTGCGTAATTATTAATTGGCAACCAATTGCTTTTGGTTAAAATTTACCTACATGTAAATCATGTAAAACAAAGGAATACCAGCTAACAGTTATCTTGTTAATATCAGTTATCAGCTGAATAAAACCGTAATTCTCAGTTAACAGTTATTATTTTAGCCGTTTCTCAGTTAACACCATTCAGACCCTTTTAGACCTTCATCAGTGATAACCAGAGGGAAAAAATCTGCATAAGATATTTTTTAAATGGTATTCTGACTTTTTTTTCTGGTGTACATGTATGCTACACAAGAGAAGTTACTTGA